ATTGTCTTGCGAGCTAGGCCTCGACCAGTGGCCCGACCCATGCATAGTCTTATGGGCTAGGCCTCCCTTAGCGGCTCGGCCATGTGGATCCTTATGGGTACCAAGGATCATACCCTCATAGTTAGTCCCCGAGCACCTTGCGTCCACTGAGCAACACCATCATGCATCCATCCAAGCTATCCAACTTGCAGCAACTCATCAGGATCAGTCTTCTGACCAGTTCAAATAGGGGTCGAGCTGTTAAAGCAAGCGTCCGAGCAGTTCGAACGAGCATCTGAGCTATCGAAGTGGGAGTCTGAGCAGCTGAGACAGGCATCCGACCAGTTTAACTGGGCATCAAGCTTGGACTCACTCGAAGTCGTGGTTCGCCATAAGGATGTAAGGAGCTCAACTAAAAAAATTGAAGTCTTGGTCGGTGAAGTGTACACACTTAACTACCAATTGCAATGGTCCTGACGACGTGGTCATCAGGGCAGAGCATAGGCGGAGACTTTACGAAGTCGAAAACACCGTGAAGAAGAAAAGTACGTGCACTGCAAGGTGCATTGTACACAATGTAGTCCCCGAGCCTGCTGGAAGATGATGAAGGAATCTTGTAGTAGGGTCAAGGAAAAAAACTTAGCATAGATGGATAACGAATTCCGTTGATCCAGCACTGAGTCTAGAGATTCATTTCATCGTTCCGCATTTAACGTGATTTAGCGTCGTGGCCCACCTTGTGCATTTGGCGGCCCACCGGCGTGCGGCAGTTTTGGGAGGGAATGCGGCGGGTCAGGCGGGGTTTCCCAAAATCCCTATAAGGCAAAGGGTCAAGGTTGAACCGTTATAAGTGTCGCAGCCCTGTCACACATTCCCCACCTTGTTCTCGCCTCTTCGTCTTCTTACTAACGCCCGCACCACATCACCCAGCAACTGCTTTGCCATCTTAGTGACCGCAAGCTCGTAATCTCCCACCACTCCTCAGATCTATGAGATGGCGCCCAAGAGGAACCACAGCAGCTCGAGCAGGGCATCGTACGAGCTCAATCGCTCTAAGGAATGGGTGAGCTCCATCAGCAACAAGGTGGTGCTCAATCAGTTGGTGGTGGACGGCGTGCTGTCGGATAGGGTGATGGTGAGATGGTGTCCTGTTCACGGTGAGAGCTTTCCTACCCCCCGTGGATTTGGCGTTTCGATCCATCCGTTCCTCCACAGATTGATTGAGTATTACGCCATTAGTCTTTGCAATCTGGGCCCGAACTCCATCCTTCACGTTTCTGTCTTCATCCATTTCTACGAAGCCTATCTTGGCATTCTCCCATATTTTGATCTCTTCCGCCACTTTTTCTGTTTGAAATCTTGTGGGTGATCTGGATCTAGAGTTGTGGGTAGCGCGTACTTGTAGCTGCAGGATGGGCTGGTTGGGCAGTACATCACTACCCTGTTGAACACAAACATGAATTATTGGGCACAGTGATGGTTCTACATGCCACAGGGGGAACATTATGTGGCGTGCGACATTGATCAGATTCCCATGAGCAACGCCAGGTGGTCGGAGAGACCTAGTGCCAGTGGAATGGGGCAGGTGAGGGAACTCCTGGCATTGATTGACCGAAGAAGAGTAGATGGGGTCATAGTGGCAACGAACTTTACTTTTTGGTGATGCCAGCCCAGCAAGGAGAGGGCACACCCTGCATATGAATTCCGAGGGGATACTGACGGGACCCGAGAGGTGCCCGAGAGGAAGTCAAGCGGCGGATTGGGGTGTTGTTTAATCTCACGGGGCACCGCAAGGTTGACGACCAGCAGAGGCCTTTAGTGTTGGGAACCTCCCACCAACGGTAAGAGTCTTTGTATTAGTTTAGCCTAATTCCTTTTTTGTTGCAATGTACTCACTCGTGCTCTTGAAGATCCATGGGCAGGACCGAGCATCATACTTCTCAGCCGCGCCATCGACGAACTAGTCAAGGGGTGGTGATGCTCGGCTGAGCAGTCCCCAGCGTCGAGCTAGCTCGTAAATTTTGGTGGGGATAGCTTGGATCAAAACGACGACGAAGACGGAGGTGAGCGGACATTAGATGTCCATGAGAAACTTTGGGGGAAGCGGCCTGCTAGCAAGGAGCCTTCCCTAAAGAGAAGGAAGATGGCGGGATCGTCCCATCAAGAAGAACGTCCGATGAACATCAGCGCTTCCGCTTACCCCCAAAGGCGGCGAATGGTGGTTTCAAGCTCGTAGGATGCCGATGGGTTGGCAGCACCACCATCTCTGAGGGACGGGATACCACCATCGGTCGTGCCAGCCAGAGCGGAGACCCGCGAGATGCGACGGATGCGGCAAGCCACGACCACGATGCCCGGCGGTGTTCGAGCATCGTCAGCGACGACGACTCTTGTGGCGCCAGCGTCAATAGCTTGGGCAGCTGCTGAAGCCCCTAGATCACAGTTACACCCCCTGTGGTAACAGCGCAGGCGGCCACCGCAGTCCCCGTGGCCGTGAGGACGACTCCGGTAGCGACGGTGGAGACGCCGAGTGGTTAGGGTGGTGGGCCGACAGGTAGTAGGCGGGGGTGCCAGTTTCGAGCTTTGTCATGCCTGCTCCAGATGCTCGTCCACCGCCCGCAACCGACCAGTCACATCCTCAATGGTGAGGGTGGACAAGTCCAGCACCGTCTCTATGGAGAGAGCGATCTGGATGTACTTCGCCGACACGGAGTGGAGGTACTTGGAGACCGTCTCTTCTTCGTCGATGGTGACGCCGTGGCTCCTCAACTTGTTGATGAGCGTCTGCAGGCGAAGGGAGAAGTCCTCCACCGATTCACCATCCTTGAACTTGAGGTTGGCGTACTCCTGCTTCAGTAGCTCGACCGTCGCCTTCTTTGCGCGGTCGGAACCGACGCGCATCGCCGCAATAGCCTCCCACGCCTCCTTAGCAGAGCTTTTCGCCCCCAACGACTCCCTATACTCTGCTAGCACAGCAGCGATGATAGCCTCCAATGCTGACATGTTGTTTTCTTCGTTGTCGGTGCCCTTGTCAACAGCATTCCAGAGCCGTCGAGCTCTGAGCTTGACCTTCATGGTCACCGACCACTCGCCATAGTTGGTGCGAGTCAGCGTCGGCCAACTGGTGCCGCTGACCTCCCGTATCGTGCGCACAACGACCTCCTGTCATGGCTGGACAGCCACAGCAGCACCGCTGCTATCGCCCATACCCAAACCATCCGTCATCACCAGCAGTTAGTCCGGCGACGACGCTTGTACGGCTCTAATACCACTTGTTAGCGCCTGGATCTCTCGGAACGGGTGAGTCGACCACTCACCAGCATTGCCAACCACACACTATCGTTGCCGGCCACACACTATGGCTAGAGATAGAAAAATTGAGGAAGAACATAGTAGACACAACACAAGCACCAGCGTTGACCGAAACTCTGCAGAGGAGATGGCAAACTAAACTCGCTCTCTTTACTGAGTTGCAGTGGCAAACTATATATACAACTCTACTCATCTAATCTTAGTACACAGACATGTCAGACTGTCATGCTACTATAGTGACTAGATGTGACAGCAGGGCTGACTTTGGCATCTGTCCCTGCTGTGGCTACAGTGCGGCAGGAGAGCTATTCGACGCCTGTCTCTGCAGCTCCTACAGTACAACAGTATGGAGCCCTTTTTGGCGTCGCCTGTCCCTACCGTGCTTTCACACAGGGAGAGCAGCAGATTACTTAACAAACAGTTCGTGAAGCTTGCAGCTCTGCACATTCTGTAGATGATTCAGCTGTGGCAGTGCCTCTGGAAGGTCTTCAGGCGCCTTGAGCCCATCTTGTTGACGCTCTCTGTGTCTCCCACCATGTCCCCACACTCGATTGCGGGGCGAGCAGGAGCGCTCGTGGTACACTAGGGCATCATCCTTATAGCGGTCCCGGAGGTCGCAGCCGCGCCCACGAGCATCGCGACCCCCATGGTCGTGGTCGTCGTCGTCGTTGTGGCGCCTACGGCTGTGACCGAGGTCATAGCCCGGGCGGTCGTTGTTGTACTTGCTCTTGGAGCAGCGACCATCATGACGTCGCTCAGCCTTGCTGCCACCACCGCGTTCATTGTTGCCACGGTTGGCACGCGGGGGTGGCGGGTGGTGTGGGAATTCCTCAAAAGCTCGCGGCTGCACCTTATGCCAATCTAGGAGGCGACGCTTACCAGGGGAGAATTTGCCGTTGCTGTCGACGGTGGACACGGTGTAGTCATGAATGGCAGTCACTCAACTGTAGAGGAATTGCCTTGCTAGTTGCTACTATTTCCATCTGTGAGCAGGAATGATGATCGGCTATCCTCTTGTTTATCGAAAAACAAAATAAAAGAAAAGGCACATAGGCAATATGAATTTTTTGTGCGGTAATGCAGCCGCACACAAGTATTTCACCGGGATCACAAATGTTCTTGGCCGGTGATCGGCTGTGCCGACCAATGCTCGACGGGTGACTAGACTACAGACACAGAACGTGTTCATTTCACTTACCACACATTTTGTCTCCAGGAGACCTAGTACGAGGCAGGATGCCAGGAGCCACCCAGCATCATTATCAATCTGCACAAACTTTTCGGTAATAAGAACGGTACTGTGAATGACTACATCATTACAAAGCCCTGCTCGTCCTATTTGTGAGAACGACAGTAGATACTCGTGCAGACAAAATGTTGGTCAGTAGTTGAACCACGACATTCAGTCAGTTTAGGGTTGGTACAGGAATTCAAGCATCCTTTTCAGTAAATCATTGTGTGCAACGTTTCATCGAACCTGTGAAGGACAGGTGGGTTGAATCATCATCACTTCATCATTCATCAAACACCACACCATTCGTATTACAAAATATCTAGGTAAGATTTCAAGCAGGTTTTGTGCAAACTGTTAACTGGCACATGGTGGTGGCATGAGCAGATTGCAATAGCAAATCTTATTCGGCAGTACTAGGAATTGTAGAGTGTAGTGCAACAGGTAGGCTCTGCAGGACATGTAGAGTTTGATACACTCAACGAGCTTCGACGGTTTGGTTTCCACCTCGGTTGATGATTTTCTCAACATACTCCTTCCTGAAATCATGTGAATGTTCCATTTTATTAAGTCAACACGAACCAGAGAATAAAGTGAGCCATGAAAGTGGAAACGAGAATCCAAGAAAGAGAGAACGGAACACAACAATCCTCCAGCTTTAGGGTTCAGACACAGGATCATACCTAGCCGGGAGATGGTCATGGGGACGATTGTATGGCGTCCAGACAGGCTCACCCACAAAGAGCCGCATTGCCTGAGGAATCATAACAGGAAAAGTTCCATATGAGACCACAATGCACTAGTCTCATTCACCGGCGCTTGTTTATAGAGGATTAAAGACAAGATTAACAAAGTAACATAAGACTGAACGCCGAAATTTGCAGAGATGGTATAACATGCACAATTACATGACATAAACAAGACAATCGCCCTCTGGAACTAAATACTAGCTTCCACTTAAAATAATTGTAGCAATCTGACTAATTCAAGAGTGAATGAATAGCATACATGGCTTCACAAAGAAATGGCAACTCATGGTGTGAACAGGGAAAGAAGTCAAAGATACCTTGATGTAGTTGTCGGTATCCAATGTAAAGCGGTGATACATTCCTGCAGGCAACACAATCATGCCCCCTTTCTTCACTGCTACACGGATCCACTGATCATTTTGGTCCCTCACATCAAAGTAGCCTTGAGAACATAATACGGAAAAAAAAAGTTAAAGATGGACAATGATTAGAATGAAAATATGTTGACTACTACTGATTTTAAACCAGAAACGAGATTTCGTGTCTTAAAGAAACACCTCTAAATGCAAAACAAAGGCACCTACCGCTACCCTCAAGACAATATCGTATCTCTTCATCAGTATGCAAGTGTTCTTCAAAGAAATTCTTTATCTTAGCCTCGTAATTTGGCAACTTCTCTGGGCACACATCACAAATGTCCTGCATAAGGAAGATGCTTATCACACTAGTTCTAAACTTTGAATAGGTATTGACCTTGCCACTCAAGGTAGAATAACAAAACAACAAGTGCCCAAAAAGAAGAACTTATTGGCAAACCATGTAAGAGTAACCCCTGGCTTCACGAATTTTCTTGAGGTTCTCATCATTCTCCCAATCACCAGCATTTAGGCGCCAGCTTAATATTCCTAGCTCTGGGTGTCCAAGATGGTAGCATTCAGCATCAGTTAGTATATCATGATGTCATATGGGCTCAGGAATAGAGCAGGGCATGCACAAACCTGAAAGTTTGTCGAGAGGAATGAATTCTTTGGGCTCGCGATGATGAGGAAGCCTCTGGTCCTCTTCACTGTCATCCATGTACCATGCTTGGATGACCTCCTCCTTGCCATCCTATGTTGTAAATAGCCATTCAAACGATATCATATACTCAGGATGCATAATCTGACAAGTACAAGCATGTTCAGACAAAGGAACCATGACCACCCAATAGCACGTTGTAAAATGTATGCACCACAAATTCACAATATATGATGCCATAATTCATAACCGTGCGGAATTAGGACTTGTGCATAAAAGCAAATATGGTGTTATAGCACAGCTTAATGCAAATACGAAATTAACCAAACACCTAACACAGTTCATATTGTGAGTTGTGACTCTTATGGCATTGACATTCTCAGATGCTTAATAAAGTATTAAAAAGGACATTGAACTATGCACATCCCAATACGAAATTAACCAAACACCTAACACAGTTCATATTGTGAGTTGTGACTCTTATGGCATTGACATTCTCAGATGCTTAATAAAGTATTAAAAAGGACATATTAAAAAGGACATATTGAACTATGCACATCCCATCAGTCAAGACTAGAATTCACAGATTCAACCAAGGCAGATCAATATGACACTAAGCTTTTAGGATTGATCTCAGTAATTTATTTCTACAATCTGTACAAACCTAGTCCACATTGGACCCAACAAAACAAAGTTCAACACCAAGTAGATATTAAAAAGAAAAAGGAGCCATGATCTAGCAATATACAATCACAAACCTTTTTGTTTGCGTCATAAACTAAATTCAGTGCAGAATCAGATGACATATAAAAGAAAATATGAAATGAAGCTTGGTGAGTAACCATCATCTTTTCCGTGGCAACACAAGGGCACTCTACTAGTTTGTCTTAAAAGTCACTGTATACTAAGACCCAAATGGTAGTCTCATATTCTCACTGCCTTAAGAAAGGCCTCACTAAAACTACAAGATACAGACTTTTTTTTCGAACAATTCAGGGGAGCGATGCTCCACTTACTTTATTGATCGAAGCAAGCAACAGGGTTGCTCAGAGTACAAATTACCGCCTAGCATACCAGGGGAGAGGGTTACAAAGGGGGGGAAAGAGAAGAAGGGTTTGGGTGAGAGACAGCATTACAATGAGTTAAAACATTCAAGAATATAGGCGCTCCACACAGCGAGCAGGTGCTTGTTGCTCTTGAAGCGGCAAGCCCATCTTTCCAGGTCCTTGATGACCCCCCGCAGAACAGCCGCACTTGAGAGATCGTCAGTGTTGAAGATCATTGCATTCCTGGCCTTCCAAATGTGCCAGAGAATAATCAGCATGACGTCTATTCTGACGCGAGGAGGGAGGCCAAGCTCACACCCAATGTTCCAAGGTTGTTTTTGCTGACCGTCCACAGCCACAACACGAAGGCAGCGCCAGATCCTCTGGGCACGGGGGCAGGAGACAAAAATATGGTCGCCGGTTTCCAGCACGCCGCTACAGGCAGGGCAAAAGGACTCATCGAGTGGCTTGATGTGCTTGCTGTAGAGATTAGCCCGGGAGTTCATCCTGTCAAAATGGACAAGCCAACCAAAAAACTTGATTTTTCCAGGGAGTTTGCACCCCCAAATGAGCTTGGGACCCTCAAGTTCAGCATCATCAGCATGGAGGAGCTGGTATGCCCCCCGACTTGAGAAAGGAGGCGATGTTAGGCCACAGGATCACCGGCTCAGGTGAGTCGACCACTCACCAGTCTTGCCGACCACCGGCTCAGGTGAGTCGACCACTCTCCAGTCTTGCCGACCACGACAAACGTTGTCCGACCACACACTATGGCTAGAGGTAGAATAAGTGAGGGAGAACAAAGCATACACACACAGCAGAGACACCAGCGTTGGCCGGAGCCCTATATAGGAGATGGTAAATATGAACCCACTTTACCGAGTTGCAGTGACAAACTATATATATACAACTCTATCCATCTAGTTCTAGTACAGCTGCCATGCTGCTACAGTTACTAGATGGGACAGCAAGGCTGACTTTGACGCCTGCCCCTGTAGCTGCTACAGTGCAACAGCAAGGAGGCCTTTTCGACGCCGCCTTCCCCTGCTGCGCATTCACACAAGGGACGCAGAAGATTATCTAACAGGCGAGCCAGAACAGTTGAGTCGCCTTTGATCCGAGGAGTCACGGAGCTGGAGAGTAGCTAGAATGGTGTTGAGAACATTTAGCTCATTAGTAGCTTGATGGGAAAGTCGAGGTTGAAGGACATTGCCGACCCCCACGGCCAGAGTGTCATGGACGCTGGCAAGGGGCCTCCGGCAGTGAGTGAAGAGGGCAGGGAAGCAGGCAGCGAGGGTGCAAGCACCAAACCATTGATCAAGCCAGAAGGCTGTGCTGCGGCCATCCCCAAGGAGGACAGGTGATGCGGCGGAAGCGGGGTAGCTCTTCGTGGACAATTTTGCCCAGGAAGGAGTCAGGGTCGCCAGCAGGTCAGGGAGGGGGGGGAGTGAAGCTGGAACCAAGTTTTCCAAGGGAGGGTTTCAGGACCAAGAAGCTTGTGAATGAGTTTCATGAGTAAGCAGTGATTTTGGTCTTCCAGATTCCTGATGCCAAGCCCGCCGGCGTTTTTGGCAAGAGAGACGCGGTCCCAAGCAATGAGGCACTGCGAGCCATGACATTTCTCACCACCAGTCCAGAGGAAAGCGCGTCGGCGGCTGTCGATCAGTTCACGCACGGTTTTAGGAAGGAGGATGGCAAGGGAGGATGCTGAGCACGGCATTCACAAGAACAACCCGGCCCCCGGAGCTAAGCAGCTTAGCTTTCCACCCCGCAAGGTACCGATCAAAGGAGGAGATAAGGGGCTGGTAGTCACTAACCTTAAGTTTGTGCGGAGAGAGGGGGCGACCGAAGTAAGTTTGGGGGAAGGAGGAGACATCACAGCCAAGGATGTTGACCATCTCAGTTGCAGCAGCAGAGTCGATGTTCATAGGGATGAACGTGGATTTGTGGAAGTTGATATGAAGGCCAGTGGCGAGGGAGAATGCATCGAGGATCTGCCGGAGCTTGGCCACACTGGCCACGTCACCCTTGAGGAGAATGAGGGTGTCGTCGGGATCGATAGGGTGGCAAAGCTCGCCGTTAGCCGATGCCCGTTGGATGAGCCTTTGGAGGACATCGGACACAATGATAAACAGATAGGGGTAGATAGGGTCCCCTTGGCGAAGGCCGCGGCGGCATTGGAACCAGCGGCCAGGGGTGCCATTTAAAAGGATGGCAGTCTTACCAGTGTGGAGGGTGCGAGAGATCCAGGTGCACCAAGTGTTGCCAAAGCCACGGGCTTGCATAATGCGATCAAGCCTATCCCAAGAAACAGAATCGAAAGCCTTCCTGAAATCCAGTTTGAGGATAGCAGTTGGGGCCTTGCGCTTATGACAGCAGCTGAGAAGGTAGGCGGCATAAACAAAGTTTTCAGCGATGTTTCTGCCATGGACGAAACCAGTCTGATCAGGATCAATCAGGTTAGGGATGCAGTCGGTTGGTGAGGATCTTGGTGATGAGCTTCATGGGGCAGTTCTGCAAAGAGATTGGTCTGAACGCATCAGCGGAGTTGGCCCCCTCTTTCTTGGGGAGGAGCACCAGATAAGCGCGATTGATGCCATCTAAATCAACCGAGCCATCATGGAAGGAGTTGAGGAAAGACAGCAGATCACTCTTCGTCTGCTGCCAATAGGCGCGATAGAAAGCTGGTCCAAAGCCATCAGGCCCGGGACTGGAATTGGTGTCCATGGCAAAAAGCGCAGAGGACACCTCGTCAAGGGAGACTGAAGTACTATCCTTGCACTACTCAAGACTACAATTCATGTGTTCATCTGAGGTGAGGACAGAGGACATTAACCTATTAGGATCGATCTCAGTGATTTATCCTTATGATCTTGACAGACGTAGTCTGAATTGGACACAAGAAACATAGTTGTCCCACACAGAGGATGTTAGTTATATGCAGTATAAGACTACAAGTAACCCAAGTAAAAACCATACACTTGAGACATGGTTGAGGTTCGTCAATGTGATGTCGAAGCTTGCAGCAACGATAGCACTTGAGGACTCCGTCACTTGTTAGTAGTTGTAGGTAGTGCTTCATGTTGTAGTTTATAAGTAGTGGTTGTATGGTTTTTGGGCTCAGTCTCCCTCATAAACTGGGCCAATTCTCCTCTTCCTATTAATATATGCCGGAACAATATGTTCTTGGATCTTTCAAAAAAAAAGGTAAAAACTATACAACATAGTTGGGAGGGGGCTCTGGACTCCACTGAAGAAACAGAAGATGATACTTTAGTACTACCTGAATAGGACTTGTGTGGGTATGATAACGGCCATGTAAAGATTTGTGAGATAAACAAACCGGAACTTCTCACAATTTTTCAATTACTCCGACCATTTAATTTGCAAGGTTATTACTGCAACTTATGTATATACGATTACTCATACAGGGTGAGAACTGAGAACAACATGTTCAAGAGCTAGTCTTATTATTCCAAGATCCGACTTTCGCATGCTTCGAATCCCTAACCAGGAAACCAACTAATCGGAAGGGATGGATCAAATCTAAGTTCATCTCGCGCGGATAGTCTCCATCCCACTATCCCAGCCCAGACCATATAGCGGCCTTCTCGAATATGGAGGGATTGTAAGTCCCATGTCTACGGGCACCGATGAAAGCAAGAGTACTTCCGCTATTACTACTGAATCTCGATCCGGGCCAACCATCATCGACAAAAACCTTGGCAAAACATGCGCGGAATAGAGTATGATTTTTCCTGACGCCCAACTGCTCGATGTCTCACGATATGAACAAGAACACGGGACGACTCGCCGGTACCTGGAACTGGCCCTCCATGTCCGAAGTCCGTATGCAGTGTCGCTGCTCGGCTTCTCCTTTTGTCGGCGTATTTCTTCGTCTTCTCGAATGCTCCTGAGCGTGGAATCTGGAACGAGGGGCCTGCGTTTCTTATGTTCAGCTTGGACTGAACGCGAACAGGCACTTTTGTAGATTGCACCCTCGCAGTTCATCAGTAGTTTAGATGCATACCCTTTGAGGCCTTGACATTAGAATATTTCCGAGAGCTTTTCAGTCTATTCGTTTGTTGGTTTCAATCAGACTTTAATGGTGTTTTTTTTTCATAATAAATCAGTATCAGTCGGATTTATCAGCCCAAAAACCAATCAGCGAAACAGGCTGTTTCTATTTGTATACCACGATGTGTCTTTTATATTCCTTTGTGAGTTGAGTATTTGGATGTTTCAAACTCGAGTAAAAGATGATGGCTCTGTGGGGCTATGGCTGCAATTGTTGTTGCATCAGGGGGCTATGATTGAAATGCGTTTTGTATATATTTCTATTTATTTAATTTACATAGCTGCATGAAACGTGATGACATAAAAATACCATGACGATGTCGATGAGCTGGCAATGTTGTAAAAGAAAAAGACAAAAGGTTGCGTTTAAAGAAGGTACGGTACGCTACCGAATGCACGGTCAGACCGTGGAAAGATTCGAAACGGGTGTAGGTGAGGTGCGGCCCGCCGCCGGATGGCAGCGTGAAGTCGGTTGCGCCTGCGCCTCTCTCCGTTCGGGCGGTCATCTTGTACGACACGAATCCTGCACCATTCCCTCTCGCATATTAGCTTGCCACGTCGCCTTCTTTTTATCTAGCCACGTCGCCTGCTTTTCACAACCGTTGGATTTTGATCGGGCCATTCAAAAGTGAGCAAAGCTTGAAGCTTTTCCTATCCAAGATCCTTCCCGAGCGTCCCACGCCGTCGTCGCTCCGCTCGCGCAACTCTCCTCCATGCTCCTCGCTTTCCCAGCCACCCGCTGCAGCCGCTCGCACATACTCCGCTGCTCTCCACGAGCGGCGCCACCGCCCCGCCGCCGGACGCGATCCATGATGACGGCGGAGCCTGCTACGGCGACGCGAAGGCGTTGAGGAAGCACACGGCAGTGTGCAGGCCGTGAGGGCGGCGCTCGACGCGCGCGACGACATGGCAGTGCGCAACCAATTCACTCCTGCGTCAGTGCGCCCACGTGAAAGGCCCGGAAGCCGATAGCAAGGACATCTCAGCCTCCGTGTCGACCTCCTGCTCCTGTTTGCTCCGCATTCCTGACCACCATCGACCTCAAAATGTCGGCGACAATACTTCCATGGAGGATGCCCTTAACGCGTTCGATGAAATGGGCACAAGGTATATATGCATACCCCATCTCTTTTTTTCCTTCTCAACATTTGTTGCTGAATTTGCATTCCCCATCTCTATCAGTTGTGCTTTGCATAATCAGGTTTAAAGTTTAGTACATAGATTGACATGAGTTCAATGATTCCAGTGCAACTGATGGGATGAGGACTGTACGATCTTTTTTGTTATTTGATTAATGTAGCAACTTGCCTGCGAGCCACTATAACTAGCAGCCAATGTGGCTGGACACCTTAGGTTCAATCGAAGCTGATACACATACCGCCTGTCCATGCACAGTTACTCATGGTGTCTTGTTCCTCAATCCAGAAATGCTGTGCTCATCCTCCTTTTGTTTTTGCCCTCCATTTCTCATGTGCAGATGCACCTCTCCTCAATAATGTCGTACACCCTAATTCCCAAGTTTGTTCCTATCAATTGAATTGGAGAGACAAAGCAAAGCTGGTTACATATCCATTTGACTGATCCAATGATATTACTAATACATCCCATTAGAAGTAATCAATGAGCGCAAAACATCTATAAATGTTTTTCTGCTGTCGTCTTAACTCTCAGCTGTTTCTAACTACACCATCCATACAAAAACACAGTGATCTGTCATGGAAAGGGCTCACTAGCGACCTCCAGCGCCATTCTTCTCATAAAGATATAGGCATATTCCTGGTAGCCAAAATTGTTTTACTCAACTTGCAGCAACTTTTCTGATCACCGATTCTTTGATGAAGTGTCCCTGTACATGTAACTATGATTAAAGCTGTCATTTCCTTTCTGGATGTTCGCCAGGCCATGTACACGTCCATTCATATCTCCGGACAATTAAGATGAGGTTATAATCATATGGTTATTTTTGAAAAAATTGTGCTCTGATCTTCATACAGAAATTTTAAGTCCATCTAGCAATCGGCCGGGTATCAACTATCAAGTATGGAAAATATCTTTTCTGCTCTATTTTAACCTATTTCTATGTTGTTTTACTCTTGTCACAAGAACTAAGACAATTATTCTGATATTTGTGAACATAATTTCTATTTGCTATCAAGAACCATCCTGACATAAGTAATACTAGTGTTAACATCGCTATCATCACCAGATGGACATATCTATTTGAATGAAAGAAAATAAAGGTCAAAATGCAATTTCTCATAATTTTTACATTTCCTTGCTCAGAACATCATCCATAAATATTTAGTCTTTACTAACCTTTAGTTCCTTTTGAACCTCACAAAAAATGCAGCTTCACAATAGCCGGCGCTCTACACAGGAGCGACAACTGTTGTGTATTTTGGTTATTGTGTGATTTGCAAATGGCAGGTGCATCTGCTGTTAAAGTGTTAATATCAATTTGTCTTGCATAATATCATATCTAATTATAATGGACTTAGTTTTGCAGGCACCACGACATGTTTTGACAGAGATTCGGAAGCATGGGAAACAATGACAGTTTCAGCATTGGCCTTGTTCGCTTCGCTGAAAAACCATGGTTGAAAGTACTATTCGCTAATTTGTTGTGAGAGAAAAACACTATTCCTTTGCTGAAACCGTACGGCTCATAAGACAAACGAACAGGGCCATTGTCTGCAGGAGTTGCGTCAATAGTGACCACTAACTTCAACGTGATGAAGATGCAAATAATGACTTCCCTTCCAGGCGCACCATCGTTCATGCATCATGCACACGATAATCTTGTCCATCCTCTAAAATGATGATCACTTGCGCTCTTTAAGGGTTGTGGTTTATCTATAAAGTTTGGTCTCATTTGTTCATATCTTCATTTATTCCAATTAAGTTTGATCATTTCTTCTATTTGATCAGAGTTAAGACCTAATATAAGATTATAGATCCTCTAAATTTACCAGGTGCAATATAAATGATTTCAGCTACTTCGAATTTACGCAATCTGGTTCCTCAAAGATATAAATTTCTATAGTCAAATACTTTCAAAATAACAGGTATTATCTGGTGGCATATATACGGCAAAACACTTGCTATGTAAGCTATACAAAATAAAGAAAAGAACCCTTTATCGTAGCCTACACAGGCTGAGGCGCGGTGCCGCGCCGGTTTTTCTAGTGACTCACGAAGTCATACGGGCATACCGCGCGTCCATCTTTTGTTCTTGCACCCGCAATGGGTCATCGATGACGCAAAGCACGATGCAAAATCTTTGCCTGGGCTACACACACCAGCCCCCCCAAAAAAAACGGAACAGAAGGATATGGATGTTGACTACGGCCGACCACATAAATAGAAGGCCCAAACCATGGAGAGCCGCAGCAGGTCTTTGACGGGCCTGTTTGTAATAGGACTTCTCCTGGGCCTCAACACGTTTGGCCCCCCTAGTGGTTCTTTTTCTTCCTTTCCTTTATCGGAGATCACCTTTCATTCAAAACCAGTGGTTGCTTGCTGGGCAGAGACAGAGCAGGAGGCCACGATGAATTCCATCCAAGGTGTGGCGAAGCCATGCCGGCCGAATTCCTGACAAAAATTACCTGCCCTGAGATGCACTGCGCTGCTGCGCACACACACTTGACAGTTGATGCAGGCGGCCTAGCAGCTGGGTCGTCCTGCATATCCGGAATGGGTTCCATACATTACATATCATCCATGACAAGTCGGCAGGCTTGCGTGCGTTCCCGACCCCGATCCATGAATGGAACGTGGCGCAGCTGCCTGTGCACTGAATGAATGCGCCAACAACCCGTCGCTCTCGCTCGCAGCCTCGGAGGCCTGCCTGCAGAGTGCAGAGACCTGCGCACCGTCACGTCTCGCACGACGACACAGCTGTACGTAGCATATATTCAGCGCTGAAACTGGAAGGCCCCCTGGCTGGCTTGCACGAGGACGGCAAGCGATGCGGACGTGAGAGTCGCCAAGGCGGCCTCTAGCCGCGCGTTCGTTCTCTGGTCGCCAGCAGGGCGCGACCAGTCGCGCGCGCGCGTGCGTGCGTGACCGGCCTTGACCATGCATGCACGCTGCGAGAGCCTGCCACTGTGCCATGGCCATGCATGGTTGCTTCCCAGAGGACAAGCGGCGTTCGCTGCCGCTGACAAAGGTGATCTCCGATCAGATCTCGTCGTCGTGCACGTCGTCTGTATATATAGTAGTAATAAGTAAAGGCCCGCGCGGAGGATGGTCGTGAGCAGAGAATGAACAATGAAGACAGTTTATTATTACTACTGCCGCGAGGAAATAATATATAAACTAAATAAAACGTGGCCCGCAGATGAATTAGTAATGCGTCCGGTTCTACAGCACTACTCCAGTGAATAAACAGTATTTTTTTCTCACAACATTTCAGTATAAGCTAATTTTCAGCGAAATGAACAAGGCCATGCTCTCGCATCATCCATGTCGTGCATTTTATTTACTCGATCCTGTATAAATGGTGTCCGTACGTACGCTCCGCGACCTTTGTCTAATTTCGCACTATACACGGCGGCATGTTTCATGAAACAGCGAGGGACATGTATATACACGTGTTGATGCAAAAGTGGATCTGCAAACACAAAGGGCTAATACCCGAATCGATATCTAAAGCGTGCCAGTCGATTTGACCTGTTAATCGACAAGGATGAAGATACGAGCACTTTGGTCCTGACAACAGCGATACGCCCGAAAGTCACGGCCAAGGGGTACTCACGCGGAACTCGAGAATCGCCGAAGGTCGCACTGAGACAATGCAACTCGCCGAATCAATGAGAACTCGTAAAAAGAAAAATATGCAAATTGACGAAGTCGCCGAAAAGTAAGTAGATGTAAATAGGAGTAAAACTTAGTTTTGATATTGATTGATATATATTACATTGCCCCTCACTCCA